CATCCCATAGCTCTTCTCCAGAACGAGAGGCTGGGTGCCCACGTGACAAAGTGACGGGGACATAGATAGAAAGAGGTTGCATTGCAAGAGTAATAACTATAAATAGGGTCCTTCTCCCCTACTCAGGAGAAGATGGACTGAGGAAGCCATTCACGTGCAAACAGTTAAGATGAGAATGAAGAGTTGCACTAAGATTCAGTGTAAATGTTATTGGTTTCAATTCCTTCATTGAAAAGTGCCATCAGAGTGATTCAAAGCTATGAGACATGTCAAGTGCTGCAGGGACGGACCCTCTAACACAGACAGACCTGGAATCTCTGTTGTCATTGGCTGATCTAGGTCAGCTCTCCAGGGGTGCTGTCTTTAGTAGAAGGCACCTCAGGGCCTCAGTTTCCCTTTTGGACTCTGAGAAAAGATTCTGATGTTCTCAGAAACTTGAGAGCTAATGGTCAAGTGAACTGTGGCCAACACTGCAATCTACAGAGTCAGTAGAGATCAAGAGGATGGGCTTGGAGTCAAGTCCTGGCTTTGTCACTTGCTAGCTGCGTGACCTGGGACAACTAACTGCATCTCTCTGAGCCTCGAATTCCTTATCAGGGAAACAGGGTGTTATGAGGAGCAAATGAATTACTCAAGGTAAAGACCTTAGCATGGGGCCAGGCCTCCCTGGAGTGCTCTGTAGAGGCTGAACATAATGATTATAAAACTCAGTCCCCGTGTGACAACATGGATGGACCTTGAGGGCATTATGCAAAGTGAAATAAGCCAGAGGAAGAAAGACAAATACTGTATGATTTCACTCATATGTGAAATTAAAAAAAACAAACCAAACACTAAAACAAACAATACAAAAACAAACGCATAGATACAGAGAACAGTGGTTACCACAGGTGAAGGGGGTTGGGGAGGGCAAAGGGGGTTCATTCTATGATGATGGATGGTAACGAGACTTACAGTGGTGAACACTGTGTAGTGTATACAAATGTATAATGTTTTACACCCGAAATATATATAACCTTGGATACCAATTTTACCACAATAAAAATACCTGCCCAAACCCAAAAACAAAACTCAGGCTTGCTACAGAAGGCTCCCCCCAATTAAACTGATTCCCCAGGGTCGAAATTGACTTCTGTTCCTCTAGTCACATTCTGTTGCCTGGTTTCTCTTTAACTCTGGACACTCAGTGTGAGATGTCTAGGTAGAACCAGGACAGTGCTGTGTGACCCTGGGCAAGTTGCTTAACCTCTCTGAGCTTCAGTGCTACAAAAGGAGGCTAAAAGCACATGTCCTACTTAGGGAGCCTAATTCATGCAAGGAGGTAATCTGTAAGTAACCGAGTGCCCCGCAAGTGGAAGAGAAGTTATCAGAGCACAGGGTGAGGCTGACCAGCTGGTCCAGATGGAGGCTGAACTGGGGACCTTGGCCTCTTTAGAACCCTCCTTCAGGGCAGCAAGCTGACAACCTGGATATCCTCTGATATGAGCATTTTAAAGTGACCGCTCCCAAGTGCAGCAGGTCCCGGAAGCCCCGATTTCTCTTCTTTGCTCTCCCTCGCACGCCGCCTCCCCCTGGGACGAAGGGATGAGGCTGTGTCTAGACTAAGCATCACTTCTCCCCTCGGGTAAGGGCCAGCACCCCACAACAACAGGACCAGGAATGCTCCATGAGGGAGAGGGACTCAATGGGGCAGAGTAAGTCTGTCCAAAGGAAAGAGGTACGAAGGAAGGGAATGAGCCCAAGAGGGCGGAAGGTCGGGGCACTGCTGAGAATCAGCCTCTGCTCAGACCCCAGAAGTCACAGACCAGTAAGTGTGACCTGGATGTGGGGCTCTGGGCCTGGCAGGCAGCTCGCCACACTGTCACCTGAACAGCCAGCATCCAGGATGCCAGTTCCAGTCCCAACCCCCAAATGCAGCTTGGATGGAGAGGATACACAGTTTCCAGGCAGCCACAAGATCCAAGGGGCTTGACTTGTCCCTGGCCTGCCAGCCCCCAGAGTGACCCTGAAGACATTCTGTCTCTGCGCTTCCCTTTCGGATCCGAGGCTTGGATTCTCAGTAAGGCACTTATTTCAGCCCCTAGGAGGCAGTTTTGCCATTTGTGGGGGCACTTGTGGTGGTCCCAGTGGGAGGGAGGTGGCATCTGGGGTCACGGACATCCTGTAACACCAGGGACACCCCCCCACACAAGGAATAAAGGTCCTGACTGCCACACAGCCTTTGGACGTTCACACAGATTATTAAATGCTTAAATTTCTGAGCCATGAATCCGATTCGCTATTGTGTGTATATAAGGCTTTAAAACATATTGAATTTTCCACGCATGCCGCTCTTGCAACTAAATCAGAGAAAGGGCATCCTTTCATTGGGAGCCGTTCGCCATTTCAGGAAATCACATCACCAAGGCGACGACGCTGCTGGTGGCGTCCGAGTTGCCAAACAACACACCTGTGTCAGTCTGCATCGGATGCTGCCGGGTCTGCAACTGGTCTATGTTTAGGTGCAAACATCGGGCCGTGCGCGTGCAGTCGAGTCTAAGCACTGATGTATGAGTGATGGGTTCTTTCATCGTCAGCTACTTTTATGCTGTCTGTCTCCTTTACTTTATAGTTAGGGCATTATATGGATTTAAACAATGTCAAATGTGGGTGGGTGACATGACCCATGGATCCGCTTCTGGTTAGTAAAGGGGACATTTAAAATATTTGTTAAAAAAATAGGGCGGGGTGGGGAGCTTGGAGCCCAGCACGGGTGTGAGTATAAAATATTCCTCGTCCTTAGGATCATTCATGGGAGTGGGTTTCACGGAGCCCAGTACTTGCCCTGGGTTGCTTTCTCCCAAACCTGACCTCCTCCAAAGCAGTTTTTCTGCTCCTTTAGGAAGGGCAAGGTTGACACAGGAGAACTGAGGGATGAGGGTGGGTTGGGAGCTCAGGTGCAGCCGCTCAAGTTGGGAAAATGGTCGGACTGCACATCCGACGGGCGCGCCCCTCCCCCATCTATGGGGAAACAAGGGCGGCTTCCCTGGGATGATGCCACAGGATGACGCTCGGCCCGGCTGGTGAAAGGGCCCCGTTCAAGTCCTTCACATCTGACAATCCCACGCACACCTGGTGTCCAGCACCAAGCTTCTGTGTCCCGCACTGTTGGCAGGAAGTGAGGGTCACATGGGCTCCTCCTTGGAGGGAGGGCTCAGCTCCCAATTATGGGAGGGTGTCTGCAAGTCCCACGTGGAGAGCCAGCCTCCTGGGCTGGGTGAGACTGGAAGAGAGCCCCCGGGGCATTCTGATGCCCACGGCCCCTGCCCCGCTGGGAACCAGAACCAAGCGCACGGAACATTAGTCACAGCCGGGGATCGGCGGCCACGCGAGGTAAGGGCCCCGCTCGGTGCCTCGCTGCTCCTCGTGGGAGAGGCAGTGTGGAGGGCAGAGAGACACAAGCCGGATTGGAAGGAGTGGGCCGGAAGGCAGGGGATCGAAGGGCAGTAGTGACCCTAGCTTCCCCTCTGCCCAGGGGTCCCCAACAGAGCCTCGTCTTCCTTCCCGGGGGCTCTGGGGTCTTGCTGAAATTGGCTCCACTTTCACCCAGCTGCAGGAGGCTGGGAACGCCCAGGATGCCATGGTGGGCTGAGGTGGGCTGCCACGGACTGAGGGGCCCACGAAGGGGGTCTGGGAGCTGCCCCATCAGGAAGGAGGACTGGATCCCATGCAGTTCCCCAAACAGACAGGCAAACTTGCAACTCAGGACACTGGCACCTGCCATTCCCGCTGCCTGGAACGCTGCTCCTCCACAAAGCCACCAGGCTCCCTCCCCCCTTCCCCTGGGTCTCACAGTGTCACCTCCTAGTGAGACCGGCCCGGCCTCCCCAGCTGAAAGTCCACCCTGCCCCACACCTCCTAACCGTTCCCTGCTCTGTTTACCCCCTCAGCACGGCCACTAAGGGGCTGCCTATCCACATCTTTTCCTTGTTTGCTCTTCCTCTTCCCCACCGCACCGAAAGCTCCCCAGGGGCGGGGCTCATCTGCTCCGGGTACTGCTCCACCCCTGGGGCCCAGGACACTGCGGCGTGCAGGGGGCCCTCGACGGACATTTGGAAAACGAATTAATGGAGGTACCTGGAGAACGACTTTAGTCCAGGCCACCCGAGGGGCTTCTTGGTGACCCCTACATGCTTTTGGGACACACAGGGGTCCTTGGGAGAGGGCTGGGAAATTCTGCGTCAGATTTCTGGGGTTCCTGGACCAGAGGGGGTAGATAAGAAGGGTTTACCTAGACCTACCCTGGGAGCACGAGGGGCGGGGGTCAGTGCTGGACTGAAGGTGAGCGTGATGGGGGCAGACAGGAACTTCTCTCTCCTACCTCCTGACCTGCTGTTCTCCGGCACCCCCCCCCCCCTCGCCAAGAAGGAGCTGGAGCGATCCACAGCCTCCCTCCTCAGAGAACAGGAAGTGCCGACCTGGCAAACACAGAGGGGCCTGCACCCAGTTCTTCAAGTTCGAGCCCGGACTCACACCTGATCCGAGCAGGACCCCTGCTTTGGGAAGTTGGGGCCAATTCTCCACTGTGATTCTATCCCCCTCCTTCAGAACCTCCTCTGCCCTTGACTGGCTGGCTCCGCTGTCCTCTCTCTTCCGAGGGCCTTGACACCCACCTCATGTCTGGGTGACCTCCTGAGAAAGCCCCTCTCTGAGCCGCAGTTCTGACCCGTGATATGTGGATTGCAAACGTACCCATCTTGGGGGGCTGCTGGAGGGTTACACGGGATCAGGATCGGAAGACAGGGCGCCAGCTACCATGATGAGCAGCTCTGGGACTCAAGGCAAGAGAGCCGTCCTAGATGCCACGCCCACTCTGCTCTTGCGACTGCAATGGGAAGGGAGAGGGGGGTGTGCCCGCACGGATGTCGGGACAGCTCAGGCGGCCTCTGGGCTGCGAGGCTGAGCTGCAGCACGTGCTCACATGCTACGAGCACGCGTGCATGCGCACCTGTGGGGCTTACCTGTCCACCTGTACTTCTGCGTCTTTTGTCTCCACCTTGACGGGTCCCCCTCCATTGACCCCTCTGTCACCAGTGGTGAGGAGGTTCAGCACAGGCTCTATCTCCTTGAGCAGCTCACTGTGCTCCCCACTGCCCTGGAGGGCGGCCCCAGCATTTTTCTCGGCAGGAGCCAGGCCGTTGGTGTGGGTCGGCGAACCAGCTTCCTGTCCGTTGTCGAGGGCATGCTGTGGTCCGTTGCCAGGACCTGTGGCCCCATCCACCGCCAGCGGCTGCTCTTTGCAGGCTGAGGACTGATGAGACAGATCGACGACCGAGGTGGGAGGACCCAGGGGCCGTGTCACCCGGATGGTCTTGGGAGTCCCGTCCCCAGTAAAGGTGGTCTCCAGGTGCGTGGTGAAGCCCTCGGGGCCCCTCAGAATGAGGACCACGTGGGTCTCAGAGGCAATGCCCCTGAGCACCTCCAGGGCGCTGCTGTAGCTCAGGTCCACCAGCGGCTGGCCATTGACCGCAAGAATGATGTCTCCGGCTTGGATGAGGCCACTCTGCTCTGCGGCACCCCCTCGAATCAGGTCAGAGATGATCACGGGGGGCTTGGTCACCCGCTCCTTCACCAGGAACCCCAGGCCCCCCACTTTGCGCTTGAAGAGGCGGACAGAAATCACGTTGGGTTGGATCTGCTGAACACTGAACATGTGATTCTCCATGGTGTCCAGCGTCCGAGGGTCTGAAGACCTCAGAGTGTGTCGAGCCAAGGTGACTTCACCAGGAGGAGCCCAGCTTCCGGCTGTGCCACGAAGGAGCTGGGGCTGGTGCTGCCAGGGCTGTGGCAGAGTCTCTTGGGCTTGTCTGTCTTGGACGTCAACGCGGTATCACCCACTCATTGCTGTTTGGCTGTCGGTGGCATGATGTCACGCATCTGCCCCTTCCTTGTTCTCTTAGGAAGTGAGGGCTGATCAGGCAGACGTCAGGAGTGGTGGGAAGTGTACCTGCGCAGCGGGTCAGGCGGACTGGGAGGAGGAGGATCTGGTGGATGTGTCTAGAGGCGACGTCTAGAGGTGACGTACGCTCGTGTGGACTATCCTCTGGGCATCGCCGGCCTGTGCGACGCAGATGAGAGGACTGGGGCTTCCTGAGCTGAGGAGAAGGAACAAGGAACAGGATGGAGAGAATTAAAATAGAGACTGGAGTACCCAACACCACCTTCAAAACCAAGATGTCAGACCAAGAAGTCTAGGCATAAGATGCTCTGGAGTTCTGAAGCCAACCTAGAAACACAATCCCTTTCCTTCGCGGAGGGTACTTTCCCAGTTAGCTGCAAACTGTCTGGTTCACCGCCGTGATCAAAGCCTTGGGTGACCACTGACAGTCAGCCCCAGAAATCAAAAGGCAAGGATCGTAAGACCTCTCTCGTTTTTTTACCACTGCAAGAAGCCACCCCTCCAGCTTGTCACACGCCTGGCCTTTGTCTGTGTGTTTCACACACATTGTCCATCCACGGGTCAGGAGCTCAGCCAGCACAGATCTGTGGGGTCTCCATTCCAGCCACTCCCAAAGCCCCCACAACAGACCCCCAGAAGGGAGACACAGCCTTCTGTGCAACCACCGATGAAGGCTGTCAGTTGGTCTTTGTGACCATTTCTGTAATTATCGACTTCTTGCAGGTTCAATAGGACAGACTTGGCCACTGTGACAAACCAAACTGGGTATAATAAATGCTAAAGACACGGGTCCACACAAAACTTTGGAGGACGTATGTACTCCACAGACCACGGGAAACCCTACCAGAGCAGCATGCGGAAGAATGGACGGTGTATCCCAGGAGAACCTAAGCACGGAGCAGGTGCTCAGTGACAGTTTGTTGAACGAAGAAGAAGAATCCCAAAAGACTAAACACAGCGGACCCTTACTTAGCACAGACACACTTAACGTATGCTTTTTCCTTGATTCACACAGCAACCCTTCCATAGACAAGACGCCCACGTGTGAAGGTCAGGGACTTGTCCAAGGACAAGCAGAGAACGGCGGCAGAGGGAGGATTTGAACTCAGCTCGGTGCCACTCTTGAGCCTGAGCTGACTTATACTCTAGGTTTAAAAAATGTATATTCTAGTTATTTTTGCCACTCCCACCAGCTCCCTCGGCTCAGGAAATGAGGTGTGTTTGGGGGACCAAAGGATAACAGGATGAGGTGTGTGCACCTGTGGCAGGTACATAGCGGGCAGTGATGTCGGTACGTTTCATGTCTGGGTTGGGGCAGGTGATCGAGGGTAGTGGGTGAATGGGGGAAAGATGGGGGACAGTAGAGAACCTCTCCATCTCTTTCCTTATCCCCAGTTCCATCTCTGCCTGGCGTCCCCTCTGCGGGCATCTTCACCACGCCTTAGCGTGGCGAGGGAGCTCCCATCTGCCACTACTAACAAAGTGACACTCACTCCCTCGTTTCCCTTTTAGCGGCTTCCCGGGGTCACCCCAGGGCTGAGGCAGATGACAAGCTCCTGCTGCCTCTGAGAGCAGAAAGTGGGTGCAGACAGCCCCCAGGAGGAGGCACCACCTCCTGGGTGCCCTGGGGGGGCCGGTTAGCAAGTTCAGCCTCACCCTTTCGCAGCTTGCATTACGTAACTCCGCCGTCCCTCTGTGTGGGTGAGGGAATAATGACTCCCGGGGCTGGGCCCGGGCTGCGTTCTCCATCTGGTGTTGCTGTGTGTGTGTGTTTCTCTCTGTGTATTCAGGCATCGCCCTCGCGCTGTGTCACTTCTCGGCTGTGTGTGTGAGTGTGTGCGGCCCATGGACAGACCGGCGGAGTGTCTTTCAGCACATTGCTGCTGGAGTCCTGGTTTACAGGAAACCATCCAGCACCGCTGTATTCTTCCTCGCTGGAGAGAGGACCGGTCCACCCTGCCCCTGCTCCCTTAAGTCTCCGTGAGCCCCATTTCTTCCCGGTACCAAACCCAGGATGTTCACTGTGTAGTTGGAGGCAGACACAGCGGGAACTCCAGATTGCTCTCAGCTGAGGTCCTTAATTAAAGAAGGGACTCGAAGGTGAGCTCCTGGGGAGGCGAGGACCCCAAGCTCTCCTTCCGCACACTGGTTGGGGCCAGAATTTACCGAAGGACAGAGGCTAGACTTGACTCAAGAAAAAGCAAGAAAGCCATGCACAAACATCCCGGGCCTCGCCTCTCTCTCTCAACTGTTTCCAAATCAAAGAGGGCTGTTGGCGGGTGCTGGGGAAACTGCGATGCTGCTTCTCAGACTTTGGCTCCAGAAAGGCAACTTGAAATTTGGAAGGAACTGGAAAGGGGCTGGGCTTGAGAGGCTGGGATAAGCCAGTGTCTGCAGAGAGACAGAATGAGAGCCGGCGAGCGAGAGAACACAGCCCCGGGACCGAGGGAGCGGATTCTGAGCACCGACCACGGTCAATCCTAACCCTAGAAACAGCTCCGTGATACTAGGTGTCTCCTTTTCCTTCCCAAAGCACATATTCCTCTGCTATCATATTGTTATTCACCCCCTGACCAATGTCAGGTTTGACTCTCCCCCTTTCACAGATGAATAAATTAAGCGGCTATAGGGAGACCCCCTTGCCTCAGCTTGCAAATGTCCAGTGTCTAGCAGGCTCCTCGGTTTTGAGCCAACCTGGAGAGCTGGCCACCCTTCTGCCACGGGGAAAAATTTTTTTTTTTTTTATCCTCACCCAAGGACATTTTTTTCATTTTTTTGTTCAGATAGAGTAGGAGGGAGAGAGAGGAAGAGAGAGAGAGAAACATCGACGTGAAAGGGACACATCGAGTGGCTGCCACCCGCACAACCCAACCAGGGCCGGGGACAAACTGCAACCGAGATACGTGCCCTTAGTGGGAACCAAACCCGGGTCTCTCAGGACCACAGGCCGACGCTCTAACTGCTGAGCCAAACCGGCCAGGGCCCACGGGGATTTTAAAGGCCATTTCTGGCTCTATCTGTGTGTTTCTGGGTGAGTTCTTTATCTTCTCTGAGCCTCAGTTTCCCCGTCTGTGAAATGGGGTCATTAAGTGATCACCACCTGCCTGGGTGACTGGGAGGATTAGGCGAAACAGTGGATGCAGGGTGCTCGTCAGTGTCACAGAGCGAATGCTCAGGAAACAATAGCTTCCTGTTATTGTTACATAACACCTACTGTTCTGGGCTTCCTGGCTTATCATTTAGCACACTTTCTACTCCACCGCCGTCTTGCCAAAGCTACATGATGTGCCATCTAGAAGGGGGCCCTCTGCTTGACATCACACCGAGGACTCTCACGCTAGTCGCACTATGGCGCGCTGACGACAGCCCTGCCCTCTGGAGCTGCGACTTCACCGTCGCGGGTGTGCACGCCCGCCTACCTGCCGTGGAGCCCGTACTGGGACCCAGGCCTCACTCCAGTGGCTCCGAGGTTGCAGTGCATTTACTTGTTACCTCGCTGCGAGGAAGCCAGGAAGCGAGCGGCTGACTGTCGGGGCTGACTGCCAGGGAGAAGGAGGGGCCGAAATAGGCCAGCGTCTGCCACTACCAGCTCGCTGTGCGACCTTGGGCAAGCACTCCCCCTCCTGGGCCGCCTTTCTGCCATTGCAGGAACAGCCACAGCAGCAGTTCCGAGTGATTGAGAGTTTGCTGTGTGCTAAGCCCTCAGCCCTACGGAGCGAGAGCTGGCAAGGGGACTGAGGCCGATGGAGGGAAGCTGGGGGGGGGGGCGGATGGAGGGAAGCGGGGGAGGCAGCCCTGGGTCTCAGGGAGTGGATTCTGCATCCTCACCAAGGAGAATCCTAACCCTAACCATCATCCCACAGAATCATGCCTGCCTCCTCCTCCTCCCCAAAGCACACCTACTCCACTGACACATTCTTCAACCGCACCCTGGCCAAGGTCACACGCTTGACTGTCCCCACTTCACAGATGCACAAATGGAGCTACCGCAGGGGGACCTGCCTGCCTGGCTTGCCTGTGGCTTTCCACTTCCAGCACTGAAGGTGGGGGGATTTCGGAATCAGCAACAGTTGGGGGATGTCCAGAGCTGTGTCACCCAACACAGCTGCCACTGGTCACACGTGGCCATTGAACTCCTGAGCTGTGGCTGCTTCCATTGAGATACGTTGCACGAGTACGACGTGGGTTGGATTTCGAAGACTCGCAGGAAGAAAAGAACATGAACGATCTCAATAATTTCCCAGTATCCATCATTCATGTTCAGCTGACACTGTTTTGGATACACTGGGCTAAGCGCGATGATCAGGAAGTGCATTCACCTGCTGCTTTCCACCCAGAATGAGACCACGGACAGTTACAGGTCACGCATGCAGCTCACCGTGTACTGGCGCTGGGCGGTGCAGGTCTGAGGTCTGATTCTAGGGTCTGGCTCTCGGGCCAGAGCTCTTTCTGCTAGCCCCCCGTCCCTGAGGTCCCCTCAAGAATCTACTGATCACTTAGCCAGGCAGAAGACACTTCCTTCGAATGAAGAAAAATGACACAGAAGGTTAGCGACCATCTCACCACTTTTTTTTTTTATCCTCACCCGAGGATATTTTTCCATTTTTTGTTCAGATAGAGTGGGAGGGAGAGAGAGGAAGGGAGAGAGAGAGAGAAACATCGACGTGAAGGGACACATTGAGTGGCTGCCACCCGCACGACCAACCAGGGCCGGGGACAAACTGCAACGGAGCCACGTGCCCTTAGCGGGAACCGAACCCGGGTCTCTCCGGACCACAGGCCGATGCTTTAACCGCTGAGCCAAACTGGCCAGGGCCATCTCACCACTTTTTGAGGCTGACTGCTGGCACTAAGCCTGATCGGTAGGGTGTGGAGAGAAAACCCACCTAGAACCCTGTAGAGAGAGAGGGAACAGGAGGGTGTCACCTGGACCAACAGTCCAGTATCCAACAGCCTGCCACCCAAATGTCATTTGAAATCTAACCAACCCAACAATACAATAAATGTGTCACTGAATGAAGCAGATCCCCATTTACAGGTGAAAAATGAGCTCCAAGATATACTACTAGGTAAAAAAAAAAAGAAAGGTACCAATGACAAATGCAGAGAGCATTCTGGCAGGAATGAGCATCATTGGTTGCATCGTCCAAGGAGCACTGCACTCAGAAGGGGGAGGAAGCACTGACTCTGTTTCTT